CTGCTTTCCCTGTGGCACGGTTCCAAGCAGGCGGCATCTCGCCTTTACACCCCACTCCTCATTGCTGAGCTCCAGCACAGAGGAGACATGGGGCCTGGCACAAAGCTAGGAACAGGGGGAAAAACGGCTGCTGCTAACAGGGAATAAAGAGTGAAATCCATGAGTCTGCAGTCATCCTTCTGCTCTTTAAGAGAAGGCCTTCTTACAACTTCTCCTTCTCACCAGTGGCTCTGCTCTTCATTGGGTGTCCCAATATCATTCAGCTTTCGTGCAAGTATCATAAAAAATGAGGAGAGTTTATTATTATCCCAAGGCAAAGGTGGGCTCCCTTGGGTGGTAGGACAGACCCAAAGGTTTACATTTTTAGGGAGCAACAAATCACATGGTTAAATCCCACCGAGTCTCACTTTTCAATAGGGAAAAACAAATCCCTACTTGGGAGGTGGGGCTAAAAATCTTTAAAAAAACAATCAGGTAAACCAGGGGCAAAGGTAGTCCTAAGGGTAACCCCCACTTCCCAGAAAGTGAGCGTGAGCACGTGATCTCCAAGTGCTGTGCTGTTTGGCAGGACCTTGGACTAGTGATGCCAAGATGTGACATCTCTGCCATTTTCCTGGGTCCAGTGATAACATCTTAAACTCCAGTAGTAATTTATTTCAATGGTAAGCACTCCAATGGACCGAACAAGGAAAAGAATGGGAATTCATTACCATAAGGGTAAAAGAAATTATTGTGGTCCTTTAATGTCATCTTGGTACTGATGGACGTAAAATGGTTACTAGTGTCCTCAGAACTATTGCTGTTCTACAGCTTGCAGCAAGCACTCAAAATGAAATCCAGTCTTTCTCAAAGTGGACACCCTTTATCTTCACCTTTTCTGCTCCCTGTTACTTGTCTTTTTGCATTTTTTTACTAAAACCAAAATAAAAGCCTCTCTTTAAAGGAGTGTTTTTTGCTGAATGTTTCGTGCCTTTTCAAAGAGCTGTATCTAATTGCTTAGCAATTTCAGATTTCTCCATTTAAAAACAGTTAAAAGTAGATAGCCTTTCTCTGCTGCCAACTTTGTGGACCAGTTTGCCATCACGTACCTGGAGTACAGGATCCTGGTTTAGCCCAGCTCGCTGCTGCTGCTCAGAGAGACACCAGCTAGGCTTCTCTAAACACAAGAAGAAGAAAACCAGTGCTGCTGACAGTTTTGCTCCCGCTGCTGCCCATCCAGTTTCCAGGTGCTCTTCAATTCTTCTGCAGACTTTGGGACTGGGAGGTGAGGAGGAGAGGCTTAGCACAGGAGTCATCCCAACCGGGAGGGGTGGGGACAGAGCACGCAGAGAGGCAGGGCGCAGCAGGCTCCGCATCAATTGCCTTTCACTCCACCTTTCATTTATTTATGATTCAAGGAGTTTAGAAAGCAAGATGCACACAAAAGCCATACTGCACTTAGTTTTTTAATCTTTCTAAATATGTGTAATACCCAACAAAAGAGTACGGAGGAGTTAAAACAAGGGATTGCTGAGCCTCCTTGTCAGCATGCTTCAGTTTTCTGGGAAAAATTCCCTTCCAGACCCGTACACTACAAAGCAAACGACGTGCGTGATGCAGCCATTTAAGACACTGCAGAATCTTTGGACTTCAGCATTTATAGCTGGGATCTTTAGCATCAGTGGTGCATTTGCTGATGCATTGTTAAATTCAGAGATGCATTCTCTTATAGTATATTCATACACTTTTATTGTCTGTAATAAACATCTTTAATGGAATTTGTGCCAAATTAAGATGAATCTGTCCTGGCAAACTTGCAGCATAAAATTTTATGGAAGTCTCCCTAGCACACAGATGAAATGTATTACAGCCACACCCACAAGTATTCTCAACAAGTCCCAAAGTGTTCCAGGTTATTTTTGATTAGACTTGCTTTCAACAAGTTAGAAACATTTGAACCTGAGCTGTTTGTTATTGATGGTGGCTCGCTGAAATTTTCCATTCCTATTTCCATAACGACCTTGTATATAAGGAACATTAGCTTAGTCCCTTGGGCTGATGTCTATTATAGCTTTAATTTTCTCTGTGCGTGCACATGGTTTGTGTGTGTGTGTGCATGTTGGGGGGAGGGAGGAATGAGAGAGACAAAAGAGCTCAAAGAAAATGCCATTTCAAGCCAGAGACCAATAAAGAAATTTTAATCCTAAGTGTATATGATAAACAAATCCCACAGTCACTCTGTAGATCCTCAGCTGTAGTCTGGTGTGGTAGTGACCACTGTGTGGTCTGAGGACTATATAAAACAGGAGATAGTTGGATTCAGTTCACCAAACTTCAGACGTTTACAATGAGGATGTCTACATGTCAGCAAGGTGTCTACACTCCCACAGCTGTCATCAAGATTTAGGGTATGATTCACACTCTATGGGTGTCTTCTTTAGACTGTCAATGGATAGTCCCCTAGATGCCACCAGCTGTGCTGACCATGGAGTTTATGTCAGCCTACCCACCTAGTGCAGGTGTGGACTGCTGTGTGAGTGCATCATCAGTCAGGTGAGATGAGTCCCACCTCTGTGTGCTGTGGGAGCTACACACAACTCAGAATTAAGGTTTGTC